GTGGTCTGATAAATCAAAATTCAGTTCCAACTGCTATTGGAACTCAGCTCAGCTTAAAAATCCCCAACTCATAAAACCGAAATGTATTTTTATTGGAATTCGATCAGTTTTGGGAAGGAAAAAAAAAAGGGGAAAAAAGAAGGAAAAGACATCCTTACCTTCCGTACTTTTTGAAAGTACAGCTCAGGAAGTGCGTGGAGCCAATACGCAATTTGGCAAATGTAGAAGAACTTGACCTGAAAACTAAACAAAGGACAGGTTGTGTAGAGGACAAGAAAACCTTTCAGCACCGAGTCAACAGCAGTAGGGCACGCAGATAATTAATTAGGCATTACATCACATTCCCCAACTCAGACTGAAAAACTGAAAAATGTAATAAGTTGTGAGTTTGTCACATTTTATACCCATTAGGAACAATTAGAACTACGCCCTTAAAAACGTATGCAAGTCCAACGCTTCTCTCGCATGTGAATTGCTGTTTTACCAGTTGGACACAGACAGACAGGAAAGTCTTCAGTAGCAGGATTGGGAAACAGTTGAAGAAAAAAGGTTAAATTCAGCATTTTGAGCATGATGATGTTGTCTTCCTCACATTTCCTCCTGGGGGAACCAAGGTGTTCCCAAGCCAGACGTGATACAGTCATGTGAAAGGAAAGTTAACCAAGTACAACCTTACTGCTTCTGCAGGAATTAAGAGGGCGAGGAGCAATCACATAATGCTAATCAAATAAACTTAAATTAACTTATTATCACAAGTGTGGACACCTCTAGAAAGGTTTGGACAGTTGGCTGGTCTGGAACATTCAGTTATACGTTAATGCATGTGTTAACCCTCCAAATTACTCTAAGTATTTATGGTAAAGGTGCTTCTACAAGCTTCTGGATCATAGTGTGTACTTACTTTCTCTCCATGACTGCATATAGCCCTATAAAAACCTTTTCATATGACTGAAAATCAGATAATGATAATGAGCAGGTTCTGGTCTCCTCCCAGTTGAACATGTTCAGAAAACGTACAACGGGGCACTCAGGAGGCATCCTAACCAGATCCCCGAACCACCTCAACTGTCTCCTTTCGACGTCAGGAGGAGGAGTGGTTGGACTCTAAGTTTCCTCTAGTTGTCTGAGATCCTCACCCTAGCTGTAAGGCTAAGCCCAGCTAGGCTAAGCCCAGCTACCCTACAGGAAATTCAATTTGGCCGCTCGTATTTGCAACCTTACACTTTTGATCGTGAACCAGTACTCGTGGCGATGTTTTCCATTTAGGATTTCATCTACATTTCAACCCTTTCTTAGGTGGAGCCAGTCCACCTCATGCTCCACCTTCCTTGTGGAAGATGAATAAGACAAGTACAATACTTGATTAATTTTTCATATTATTAAAACAGAAGGGCTGAAAAGTCTCAATGAAAATATCTCATGAAGGTACGTTCTTCTTTAGATTAATCACTCAGCTTTAAATCATGAGTCTATAGTATGTGGAGGAGTGTATAACTACTTACACCATGCGAGTATGTGGGTAACCCTCCCATAAGAAAGTAGGATTTGTTGCAAAGTCCTCCTGCGTGAGAAAGAGAGACACTGCATGAGATGAGGTCTAATGCAGGCTGAGACAATGCACCTCTTGGATTTCTGATGCTGGTACCGCTGTTAGGATGCTGCAGCCCCAGATGAAGGAGAACAGATAGAACGCTGCGAGCTGCCCAGACTCATTGAACTTGCTGTGCTTGGTTTTTGACAGGTGCAACCTCCTGTTCATTTTCTGAAATAAAAGTAAAAACAGACAACCTAATGAACACAATGCCACAGACCTAAGCGTTAAATTAAAAAACAAAATTGGGCTGACACGTTTTAACTCTACCTGGTAAAGACAGGAGTCAGAGTGGGGTGACAAAGTCCCTGCTTCATAAACTTTAAGAGCATTAGGAGTGGTTCTGCTGACAGCCAGGATGAACTGGAGAAACTCGTTTAAAAATCATGGACTATTGTTTTAAGAGGTATGAAAATTGCGATTCTATCCTTTAAGAGTAAAGGACCAGAAAAATGTACCCTTCTGTTATATTTGTTACATGTCCAAAAGAGATTTTGAGGTAAAAATACATCTAACAACATTCTTTTCTCCTGCTGAGAACGATTATCAAAGCCATAAGCTGTCAGGAGAAACATGAGCATTGTTTCAGTGTGCTTTAATGAACGCACAAGCAAGGACGGAAGGATGGAATTTGATCACCAACAAAAAGAATAGGGACATAACGGAGGCGACACATGTGGCAGTGGAGACTCTGCTACTTTTGAAATGAAACTCTAAAGACCATTGTAAAGTACTGTACGCATGGGTTCCTTCCGCCATTGTGATTTGCTTTAAAAGGGCATGTACACAAGCTGTTAAAGGGGAGACTGAGTTATTGTTAAGCACAGTTCTGGTTTTATTTGCGACATCAAAAACAAGCCCGTTTTGAAAGAGAGGGAAAAAAGGTCAGGCATCAAGCCGATGTACTCACGTCGAGAATATATTCTTGTATCAAGGCATGAAGGATGACTGCAATGAGAAGGTAAAAAAACACAGTGGCCACGTCTTTAGGGCCATACTGGTAAAGGTTGACTGGGTCGCTTTTCTCATCTGCAAAGAGGACAAAAAAAGAAAAACAAGAAAAAACAAAAACATAAATAAGGTGAAGCACTTAGAACCTACAAAGCAGTGTTTCATTTTATTCAGGTAATTTCAGGCTTAACCCTGGTTTTTCAATACCACACAGGTGGAACACTTCTTACCGGGAAGTGAACCAGCTATGAAGCTAACCTGTTATGGAGCAGGTCAAGTTTCAGTTTAGAGATCAACAGGTATGAAATCACCACCTACTGACTAATGAATTCTCCAGAATGTACTGACTCTGTTCCTGGAAAACCCCTTTGACCTATGTGCTCAGATAGCAGGAGAGTCTAAAGTTTTTTTTACCGGCTTTTGAGTTTTTTTTTTTTCCTTGAGGGGCTTCGTTTTGGGTTTTTGGGGTTATTTTTTTTTCTCCTTGGTGTCAAAAAAAGTAAAACTATTTCATTGTTCTATAAGCATCAACATAAGATCCTAAAATGGAAAAGAACTGATACCAAATTTGCATGTTGCCTAAGCAAAAACCTAAAAACAGAATTCAAATGTATTCATTACACACAGACTGTTAAACACCATCAAGGCCACAGCTGAAAAAACAAAACTAAAACTCTCTTTTAAACATCATTTTTAACAAAATACTCAATTATAATCCATCGGGTTCTTACCTGTCTTAATGACAGAGCTGTTATATTGATACGCGTGTTAAATTATACAGTCATTATTCCAGCTTTCTTTCCTGGCTTTGAATGGGCCAAACTTTATTAATAGCACAGCTGCTTTCTAGTTTTACTGACCAAAGTGCTGATAACACACTTTTACAATGTGAGTCTACAGCGCTTTTCTTCTCACACACTGCTGTTTTTTCCCCCCCAGTGTGCATTTTGTGTTCAACCTCTAGTTTAATCTTTCTTTAGAGTTTAAATAAATAAAAGTTGTTGCCAGAACGCTTATCAACAGCTGTGATTGGTCAGATGCTGCCAACATGTGACTGTGCAGGGGATACCCTTGGTTAACTTAGAGAGTTGATAACTAGCTTTGTGGGACTGCTTAGCCTGGCTTCCAGCTTTAAGCTGAGTTAACCCAGATAACAGAAATGTACCCTGGGTATATTGAACTCACTTTGTAGCACAGGCCTCAGAACAGTGAAAGGGTGCAATAATAGACAGAATAATATAGGCTCACCAAGAACTTGAGTTACGTTGTACTGAACTGTGATGAACATGATGGCAAACTTTGCTGTGACCTGTAATGACAAGAAAACACTTTGATTATTGATGAATTCATTGGGATGCAATGCAGTAAACTTTACCTCAATCAGAGGTTCACAACTGAATCGCACCAATGCATCTAGCTCCCAGTTTTGTTATCAGCAGTGACAAATGGAGAAATGTGGGGAGTGAGTGCTGCAGAGCAGCTACAGCATGTGGAATTTCACTTATTCTCATAATTGGGGTCTAGAGACCTCCAGGAGCTGCCTGCAGGGGCTCCCAGGGGTCTTCACTACCACTGGCACAATGACTCAGTATAAGTGCATCAGGGAAATTCAGCTGAGATGTTCTTAATTAATAAATCATAAAATGCAATATATTCACACAGAGTATTAAAAAAAAAGTTGATTTGGAAAGTGGAGAGACATTTCCCTTCTGGAAGCAGGGTTTGGGTGTGGACATGTTTGATGAAGGAAATCCATCTTAGTCCTTTCAAATATGGCTAGGTACTAGTCAGCTGTGGCGAATCAAAAGGCTGGTAATCAAATGTGTGGCACGCAGGCAAATATTTCCTGACCATCCTGTTGTCAAAAGCCAGAGAGAGGCAGTGCATTAGTCTAGAGTGGTGGTAAGATGACCTGTTAGCTGTGCCAATGGGCCTCCTTACCATCTTCTTTGGCAATCAGTTAGACACATGAGAAGGTAAGGAGAAAGACACGCTAGCGCCCTGTCACTGGAGTGCTGCTGTCATCCCAGCTAGCGAGAGTTAGCATCAGCTAACATAAATCGACTAAGTACAACAGCTCGTCCAGTCACACTGTACCTCAAACATCAGGCCAAGGAGGATGATCATGGCCAGGCACGACACCATATCGGCGTGATTCTGGATCACAAACTCGTGGCTCAGCACCGGTGGGCTCTTGTTCTTCTTGCGGAAACCCATGGCTCACCGACTCTGCCTGGCTGCCTGGCTCCGGGGCTGCTGTCACTGAGTCTAAGCGGGGTTGGAGCTAGCTTCCCCTGCTGCACTGCTGCTGGCCTCCTGGCCTCAACAGACGGATGCTCGCTCTGCTCTGGGACGATCCCTCCGCCGTAGTCCGCAAGCACAGTGAACCGCTGCTCGTGTGTTTAGTAGCAGACATGAAGACGCATCGCACCGAGCCAAACACCACAGCACAACACCCACTTTATTCCTGCTGCCCGCTGAAGTCAGATGACGGGCCCTCCCACTTCGAAACCCCATTCATGAACCGCCCAGTGTCATTGACGTAGAAGGAGAACCCGGGCCCGTGGTGCCTTCACGTTCCCCACGTAAGCGCGCTCCAGGTTTCAGGAAATGCAGGCAGAGATGCTAAATCACCACGTATGGTGATGCATTAAAGACTTACTGTTATTTTAAATGATTGGCGTGTTTGAAAATTATACTGTCTACCAAAATAGCAGCTGGTGACTAGTTACACTCCCGGAAGCCAGCAGGGGGTGTGACCAGATTTTTTTTTAAGTCAAAGTAGGCCAAAGAACATGTTTCTGTGGACAATTTGACAAATGGTTGCAGAAAACTTTCACACAGTCATTGTGTGGGGCACGTTGTGAGGTTATCTGACAAAATAAATAGGTACAAATTATGCAGGATAGGGATTGGATGCATATTTCTAACTTCTTGAGGGCATAAGTGGAAGCAACAGTATGCTTTATGGTTTGATGATGATTTTTGTACACTTTTGTTTAGCAGTAAGTGTTAAAGCTATCATCTTCGAGTTTCAATAGGGATGCATACCATGTCAACCTACTCTCTCAATATGTGTATGCAGTTTCAAACTGAGCTGGATACTTACTTTTGAGTAATGTAATCATATACAATCGATTATATTCAATCTCTTTCAAGCATTCAACTCTGTCTTAATCATGCTTGGAACTCAGAGTCACAGGGGGATTTTTTTTTATTGTTATGTGCCTAACATTATATTTAAAGAAATCCAAATTATTGAGATGCTGTGGGACCCCAAGTAAAAAGCATCTCATTCTGCATTTGCATCTTTAACATATGAAACAATCTGCTGAGTTAAAACCTCTGTACACCTTCAAATGACTGCTAGTCACAGATACAGCAGACACATTTCCTATATGCTGACCTAAATTGTCTCCTATAACTGCACTTACTGTTTGGTGTCCACTATTTTATGTAAACACCAGTAAATTTACATTATGAATATTGTTTAAATTACAGTTATTTAAAAAAAATTAAATAAATTCCTCTTTTCAAACTGTAGTTGAGGATATGTAAATGTAAAAAGCTTTAATATGCTTTAATATGGTGATGATATGTTATCATATATGTTATTATATGAATTAATTCATAAGATGATTTATTAAGTAAACAATCCACTATATAAAGGAGTAATGGTGTGGTAAGGACAAATATGTTTTAAATACATTTCTTACTTAAATCAAGTTTAAATCATTTTAAGTTTTAAATAGAAATTGTCGGAGAGACCGGAAGTTAAATTTGGTAAACGATGGTATAATCTGAAAAAGGTCAACTAGAGGTAAAGTCGCTTGCCAGGTAGTAAGTCTTTTGATTCTATATTTAATGTTAAGAATATATTATTATAATATATTATAATATAATTTCTTCTAATTTCAGAGGGATAATTTTGTGTCAGAGGTTAGCAAACATGTTAACACATGGTCGCTTAAATTTGTGACAGCTAACCGTCGACAATTCATTTTAACCTTCATTGATTTTTATTTTTTAATTTTGTTTTTATCGGGGGTGTTATCCGTCTAAAGAAGCAAGTCCCTATATATATATACACAATTCTAATCGTTTTTTGTTCACATCCAGGCGCCGTGTGTTTAACACTAACGTGTTTAGACTGTTAGCTAACTTCCCAACAATTTAAACAGAATTCCACGTTCATTTTATCTCCTTGCATCATGGCACCAGAGGGCAGTATGAGACAGACCGGAGAGAACTGCACGGAGCCGTTCGAGTACAACGTGTGTACACAAAATAAAATGTTTAGTTCAGGTCATTTTCTCTAATTTGGGTGAAATTTCTAAACGGCGATGTGTTTCATCAGCGCCCGGCTAGCTCAGTCGGTAGAGCATGAGACTCTTAATCTCAGGGTCGTGGGTTCGAGCCCCACGTTGGGCGGAAGTCTTTTTTTTTTCTTCTGTGTGCTTCACTTCCCTAAATCACAAGAACACAGGCCTCCATTGTGCTTACACGGAAATCAGAGAAAAGTTGATCCGCCGCGAGTCTGCTCTGCTTTATAACTAATCAAAAATTACTTGGCCATAGTTTGTGGAAGTCTTTGTTTTCTTTTTAAATTCATCACCCTATTTTACAATGTTTGAAATGTAAATTAGCCTTGCTTGGAGGAGGAAAATGGTGCTGAAAAAAGCCCCCAAAGTGGTTAAAGGAAGTTCAAAAAAGATCAATGAGGTGTAATTTTTAGTGCTTGTGATACTGATAAGCAACATATGGCAATATTTATATATCAGGACATATTTTATGTTTAATTTAATGAAGTCCTATGCATTGAACACATTTTTCTAGTATTCAAATACTGCTTTGAATTCTACATTAGAGTATATAAAAATAGACTTTTCATCACATCAAATTAAAGCCTTACAAATGACCCAAGAGCAGACTCAACAAATGAGATAAAGCAAAAAGGAACGTGCATGTGTTCCTCAGAATGAATTGTTATATTGTATTGCCTAATAATCTATATATTTTACTCTTTATCTGGTCATAGTTGGGTCTGCTGAAAGTCAGACGGGACCACATCTGGTAAATGATCAAGCTTATCACTCGTACACAGTATTTTTGCATATGGTTTGTTTAACTGCCCATTATTCATATATACATAATAAAAAGTAGGGGTTAGCTTCTTTAGGATTAAATACAAGTATATCATTTCTTATGTTGTTCTGTTTTTTGTTGGCTGAAATGTCCGAATAGAAGAACAGCTTTAGCCTCTCTTTTCTTTGGAATAAGCCAAGAGGGAGGAGTTTAAACAAAGGCCCTTTCCACATAAAAAATGGAAGCTTGTGCAGAGAAGCCATGGTGTCCTGCTCTCAACACTACATGCTGCCGTTTCTGCTTCTAAAACCTTCAACTAAGACGGTTGTTTCCTGATTCTGCTGTTGGAAGCTACAAAGCATTGTTCCATGGGTTTGTATGTCAGAAATCCTCGCAGTAATCACAATATTTTGTGGTTTTAAGACCTAGCTCTGTGCTTATTTTTCTTCCCCTGTCTCTGACTCTCACAGTGCTGCCCCTGCCTGCACTGAACAAAGATAATTACTCAGGAAACATTTCGGCCAATCAGGCGCGGCCTTGCATCTTGCTCGTGAGGAAAGCGACCAGTCAGGATCTGGCTAACATCACCGGGGCCTGATCGCCTTGCCTGAAGAGCGGAGCCTTCCCCGACTGAGGGCTGAGAGTGTCCTCCATGTTTTATAAGTGTTGACATAACAGTGTGTCAGGCAGCCATGCATCCACAGAGGTAAGCTCTGTCTTTTTTATCTCAGACTTCTGATAACAACATGGCTTCCTTCTTCGTGTTGTGCTGACTGTTGGTTTCTAATGATGAATGCGCACACCTTAAAGTCAGTTTAGTGTGCAGGAGGAGGAGGAGCTGGGGTGGATTGGAGGCCTCGTAAGGCCTCTGTGCTCCACAGTGCTGAGGGTGGGAGGGTGGGGGTTGGCTAACGACTCTCACCCTTGTTCTCTCTCTATGTCTCAGGGTCACATGAGTGCCCCAGACAACCAGCCTGCCATACAGGAGGCAGAGTGGACCATGAAAAATCCTTTTATTTTTTTTAGAATGCAAAAGAGAGTTGGATTTTAAAATGGCACACACATCTCCTTTCTGTTGTGGGAGTGTTTGTGTTTTTTTTAGAATGGCAGAGGAAGAATGGGGGATGGGCAGTGGAGGAAAGGGTGTATTATGTACTGTTTCTAAGTGGATTGGCTCTGTGGTGTTTTCTTGTGTCATGCCAGGATGGGGACTACATGCAAAGGGCAACAGAAGTGCATGCTAGGAGGGCAGAGTGCGCAGGGCATCACGTCACTGTAACATTTTTATGTACACATATGTGAAAAATATCTAGAACATGAAAACTGTAGCACAGTGTATACACATTTAGGAAAGCTGCACTAAGACTGGGTTTTCTACAGTCCATAATAGTCAGAGGCCACATTACAAACACTTTGTGACAGGGTAATCCCCTTCCACTTTTTCTAGTGTAATCTTTATAAACTGGTTGCCTCTATTTACACTCATAGGCCTGGAGTTTATTGCCCCTGGCTTCTGCAATTCCACAGTGCTGTTGTGAAACTGCTTCCTACGCTCTCAGCCAGGCAGTAGCCATTTTGTGCTGCCGTCTTCACAGATCAGACGGCATAAGCAAATATAACACACTACTCGTGGAAATAACATAAGACAGACCTATTTTTAAACGTTTCAAGTCAAATCAGTTTAATGTGAATAGCACATTTCAAACGGAGTAAAGCAGAATGCTTTACATAAGTATCAACTGCATTTGAACAGCTGGTAAAAGTGTCGTTAAGAAGGATTGGTCCTTCAAATAACCTGTCATGCTGTCCACATCATAGTCGGTACGTTGTGTTTTGTCATGTTGCACCATTTTAGCAGTCTCAGCTGTGCTGGGGAAACAAAGAATGATTTCTTTTTCTTGTGGCCTGACGCAAGGCTTTTTTTTTTTCATGTAGGCAACATTCAGAAGAGAGTAAGGTTATAATCAGGAAATTACTCGTAGTTTAAAAGATTGCTATCTGTGAAACCAAAACCAAAACCTTTACTACGCCACAATGCCTGATTGAGAATTTATGTTAAAATGTGTAATTATTACATTTTAGATGGATATATGTGGGGCAAAGCTCTGGGCCTCTTTCTGTAGCATTGCAGGCTATAGAGAGGGTGACAGAGGTTGAATAGCACAGACACGGAGTTGTGCATGACAGCCACAAGGCTTTTTTAAAACATTAAAGGGGAAAAAAAAAGCCCCCTGGTTTTGGCTGTCATAATCACAAATTATCAAACAGAACCGAAGGAAAATAAATCGTCTGAGGCAGAGGGAAATCTCTGCATTGCAGCAAAAGCGCTTTTTAAGAGGAAGAGGGGAGCCTGCATACTGTGATCTGTGTGGCATAACACAGCCGACCAATAAAGTTCCACCCTGTTGGCCCTCCAGCCAATTGCAGCTGCAGTTGAGGTTAAAGATTGACAATCCGAGGGAGAGCAGCAGGGAGAGCAAGGCCTTCTGGAAAATTCCACAGCCATCTTTGATTCACCCTTTACAGCCTTTTATAAGATCCAGGTCATTTTTTTTTCTTTCGTACAGAATACGCTGTGTATACTAGCAGTATACTGATTAAGTGCTGGGAGTTGTGCTAGATCAGGCACCTTAATTTACTTAAAGTCATTGTTTAATGAAATGCTTTTATTTCCCAGGAAAAGCAAAAGCTAATCCTATTCATTTCTTCAGTTGTCTGCATGTGTTTGTTGCTCTCATGAAAGCCGGTTGTTTCTTGTCGTATTGCTAAATCAAATAATCTCTCTAGGGTTTTGTGTAGCAGACCGTGTAGGATACCTTTTCTTTTTCGCAGATGTTTTCAGTGGCATCTCTAATATGTTGCAATATAATGAGTGCAGTATGGTGTTCGCATTCAGTTGCATTTCTGGATTTCCAGACGGAGCCAGATATTTATCTGTTTAATGTGTGAAAATTGTTTATTGTTTTTACATGTAGAGAAGCTTTTCCATACAGCTTTGCCAGGACCTGACTGTGGTTTTAGAGTGGTGGTCTGTGTTTCTTAAAAATGAAATCTAATTATTCCATGACAGCAGTATTCACACAGAAGGAGGGAAGCCAAGATTGAATACAGGGAACAAAAAAAAAAAAACCCCAACACACACAGATGAGAGCTTCTGACTTTGCTGGATTTTCCTGTGTCTCCCTCCCTGTGTTTCGCCTCTGTCTCTGTCATTGGCCGTGAGGCTTTGCCCCGACATAGACCATGTTTTTTCGTAATGTTGGACTGTAATCTCCACAGATCTCTCTGGTCCTCCTGCATGGATGTGCCAGTGCCCGAGTCTCAGCCTTGGAGTGGGGGATGGGGGAGAGGGGGGAGGGGAGCAAGCTGTGGCCTCCATTTTCTGTGACGAGAGAACCCTGCTCGTCTCTCACAGGAGTGGAATCTAAAGACATTGATTCAGTGTTGTTTCCTTTTTGTCCGTCAGGTACTTCAGTACTTACTGAGTGGGAATACTGTGTTTTCTTGCACCTGACTATTATGGAATATATCTCAGAACCTGCTAAGGATTTATTTGTTTAAATCTTCTTATTTGATGGATCATAGCTCCTAATCTGAGAATGCACTTTGGATCTTCATACTTTTTTCTTTTTCCTTTTAACTTCTGCTAATCCTGTTTTCTTTGTAGTTGCATAAATGTCTTGCCATTGGTGTTGAGAATGTGTATTATAGGGTTGTTTGGCAGCTCAGGGCTGCTTGGTGATGGCGAATGTTCTTTTATAGGGCTGTGGCACACGTAGCAGAGTGAACTGGCTAACGGTTTCTTATTTTCATGTGGGCCTCATTTGTTCACTCAGTCCGGAACAGGAAGGCCCCGGAGGGGTTGGGGTGTGTGTGACTGAGGCTGTGTATGTGCATTTGAAACTGCAGGCTAGATGATACTAGATACCCAAATGCCATGAGAAACTCTGCTCAACCCATGTTTGTCACTTTTTCAGACAATGCAAGCTATGCTTGTATTCTCTCGAGTTTCAGATAAACCATCGGTGACTTGAATGTTTTTAGGAACTGCTGGTGATTGTGAGCCACAGTGTATTTTCTTTTGCCACAGTGACAGACTTTAATCTTAAACCCGTTTGTCGATACATCGTGGTTTACTTGGTGTTATGAGCAAACGTTTATGAGTAAGCGTAACATCCAGATGAACAGAATCAACTTTTTTGGATAACTTACTTGGATAACTGAGCGTGCATCAAGACGTTACAAGCATAGGTTTACTAGCCATTATGCTCATATGTAATCGCTTTTGTTTTATTGATCAAACTCGTAGGGTTTGCATTTTGAACCCTCCTTGCCTCTCAGTGAGCTGACATTTGTTTTAACTTTTTTATGGAATGTCTCTTTAAGGATGGAGGAGGGGACATGCAGAGCATTCCTTTAGTTTCAGAACTGAAAAAAAAAAAAAAGATTATCCCACAAATGTGGTTGACCTTTGAGTTCTACCCCGAAAACCACTCATCCTAGCGGGAAACCAGAGCTGTAGCCAAAGCTATGATCTGGTCAAGTGTGTGACCTGTCAGGGGTCTGTGGGTGGGTTTTCTTCTCTAGGCTTTTCAATAAAGGCTACATCCTTGGAACTAGGCCCTCTGTGGCTCTCACAAAGGAGGAGCCAAACACTCAAAGACCTTCATTTATTGCCAGACCCCCTTTATTCCTGTCTTTTTTTTTTCTTTTTTCTTTTTGCCTCAGAGGAAGTGGGGTGCTACGCAAGAGCAAAGGGAAATCAGTCGTTTCCAGTGCTACATACAGTATGTGTGTTGCATTTTTAGGTTTTGGATTTATTTATTAATTTAAAAAAGTCTTTGCCACTTTATAAACAAAGACATAAAATAGTGCCAGAAATGACAGAAGATTTAATGTGGCCATAATTAAGATCTAGGCCAGAAATGTGTGAAGTTTATTAGATATATCTCTTCCTACTGGTATCTAACAATGGGCCCAAATCCTTCAGGGGTATTCTGTTGTTACTGAAGGGGCTTGAGAGGTACTGTTATTTGTCATGGGGGGCTGTCCCTTCAGTGGTATGTACCAACTCTCTGTGGATTTTTCTTTTTTTTTTTTTGTTGCTACAGATCTATAGCTCTATACACTGTATGTCAAAGAAAGCACTGTGTGAATATTGTGACCTAGTAGGACTAAAATGCTATGACTGCAATGTAAGGACAGAGGTGCAGGGTAATTACAGCTAAATGGCCCTATGTGTTGTTGCAAATCTCAGCTTGTGCTTAGCGGAGATCAGCGTTACCATGGTGATATTTATCATCCTTTCTCTTGGAGCATAATGAACATTTGCAGACTCCATTGTAGATGATAATATGGAAAGTATTTTAATTTCATGAAACAAAGTGGGAGATGTTGTAAAATCAAATGAAAACAACAACAATGGAAATCAGCAGAGTCCCTGTTGACAGATCCTCTGGGACCCGGGTGCCTTAGGTGGTGTTCCACTTGTTTACTGCTATGCTGATGTGGTTTCTGAACACCCTTTCTGACTTTGTGTTTGCGTCTCTTTCTGTGTTTCTGTGTGCTCCTGTTCGGTGCTCTGCAGTCTGGCTGAGGAGGAGATAAAGACAGAGTCTGATGTGGTAGAGGGAATGGATGCATCTGTGCGATCCAAAGGTAAGTCTCTAAGGCCGAGGACCTCACATTAGGAGCCAAGCATCCAACACAGCTCAGTTACAGAGAAGGTAGAGGTTATTTACTGTATGTTTTGAGGAGAAGAGTCTTAATACGTTTTGCTGGTCTCTTAGGATTGCAAAGATGATCCATTTTTCCTGCCTGCTGAATCTACACGGGGTGTAGTTAGTTCCGAGGAAGCCCTCTAGCCATTTATTATGATGAAATAGTAATTTGACGTGTATAAGTGTTGTCTTCAGTAACTGCTTTTCAGACTACTGTGATTGCTGTGTTAGATGGTTAAAAATAATAGTGCTGAACACTGAATCTACTGTACTGCTCGCTTGAAAATTAATAACTTCAAAATACTGTTCCTCCCTCGGTTTCTCAAGGGAAGACGTGTGGGTCGATGACAGTGATGTATCATAGTTTTATAGTTTTGTTTTGTTTTTGGTTTTTTTTGTCCTCTTTTCCACTTTTCGGTAATTATTTTTCTTAAGCTTATGTAATGTGTTGGCTGTAAATACATTGAACATTACAAGCTTGACTCCTATTGTGTGATGACACGATTATCTTTATGTATTCAGTCCCTGATCCACCAGGGTCAGCAGAAAGATCAGTGGCACCACAGAAACGAAAGGTGTCGAGTCCCACCCATTCCTCCAATGGGCACTCTCCCTCAGACACCTCCCCCAGCCCTCTTAAGAAGAAGAAGAAGCCAGGGGCCTTGAATTGTAACAACAAAGACCAGGTAAGGGCTATTGTAAGTGCAAGTTCATTTTGAAATCAGGTGTGTTCTCAAAGGCTATTTCTTTATCCAATTTCAATAATGGGCCATATACTTTCATAGAATGTTAAGGCCAGGGTTGTGCCTGAAAAGAACCATTTCATATGATGTGCTATCTGACCACATCAGAAATCAGATATGTTTATGGTCAATCTAACCGCTGTATAAACACAGCCATAATAAAGTGTATTTTCAGGGTCTTGAATGGGAAGCGTTTAGTGTTATTTATTTATTTTTTGCCTCATGCTTCCACAACTAATGTGTACAATATATGAAAAAAAAAAATTGCACTGCATACAGTTGGCAGATTATACCTTCCACTTCTGGAAGTCTGCTAGGATCTGTTCGAGTCTGAGTGACGTGAATTTCATCAACAGACAGTTAGTGGGAGGATTGATGCAGATGTCCGTGTACTTGTGTTACAAAGCACCAAGTACATAGGCTTCCCAGGCAACACAGTCCAAGTGGACGTTAAAGATGTATAACAGGATTGACTAGTTGGCTTTCAGGTCTTCAGCTGTCTGTGTAAATGCCAGGCTTTAGCCAGTTGTTGGTTTTGAACATGAAGGGTGAGACTGAGACCTCCTTGTCCATCATCAAAGGAGATGAACTAGGGGGAGGGGGTATCTGAGGGTATTCAACAAGAATATGTTACCAGATGTACTGGTGCTATAGTCCAAAGTCAGAATTGTCAAATAGACAACTCAAGTTGGTTTTGCAGCTCGGAAAGTCAGAGCAGCCCCCCCACCGTTGCTTTACCATTCCAGGTTGGCGGTTTTGATTTTAACCGTTGTTAAACTTTCGGGTTTTTTTTTAAACTATACTGCCACTGTTTTGTATTTGTGATTCGCCAAATAAGGTAAAGCAGCAGTATTTATTATTAAACTGCAGAAATCAAGCATTGCTAACTTGATGCATAAATGGCTTTGCCTTCCTAACAAGCAAAACAAAGCCTGTTTTCCTTGTTTTTCCAACTTTACTGGAATGGTAGTGAGCTTTGACTTTTTTGACTAGCGTTGAGTTTCAAGGTATACAGAACCCAGCAATAGTCTAATCTAAATGCCATATACTGCCTGTGAGAACACACTGATTTTGATCATAATCTCTTGAATACTGGCCATTTTTAAAGTAGACCCACCATACAGGAATGTGAGCTGCCACAATTCACATGGATATATTTTTTTGGAAACAAGTCGTTTAATGCAACGTTAGTCACCAATGGTCATTAACATTGACATTTAGTACCAAATAGGATAGATTGATATGGTTTTTATTGTTTGCTTGGTGGATAATGTAGTGTTGTGTGATTCCTTTTAGTCCTGTGTTGATCTTACATGATATTGAAAGCTAATTTAGCCCCTGTTGTATAATTTGACAGGTATCTGATGTGAGCATAGTTATGTCTTCGTGGCACTGTTGGAATACATGCTTTGGCTCTCTGGGAAAGGTCAAATAAGCAGCAGCTGGATTTTAACACCACCAAGACTTGAATTTGGGCAAAGAAAGACTCTTTTGAGGCATCTATCAACTTGTATTCATGTAGTAACATGTTAACACTAAGATACCATTTAGGCATTTACCAGAGAGCCACATCATGCAATGTTTACTCTTTAGGTTTAAGGTGAGCCATGTCTCAGCTTGCACTGTAGAACCTGTTTGGTTAGTATTGATTTCATTTGAAGCCTTTACATGACTAGATGTTCAGACTATTAACTGATTTTCTTAAAACAATTTTGTGTTGGATTGATTGTCTTTATTACCTTCTATGCTGCTTACCCTGCTTATCCCAGCTTGTTTCTGTTGCACTGCACCTTTTTGTGTTCCTGCGTGTTTTTTGAAACCTGCCCCCTTGTTTCTCTTGCCTGCATTTCAGTCAGAGCTAAGACATGGTCCCTTTTACTATATGAAGCAGCCAGCACTCACCACAGACCCTGTTGATGTTGTACCGCAGGACGGCAGGAACGACTTCTACTGCTGGCTGTGCCACCGCGAGGGCCAGGTGCTCTGCTGTGAGCTCTGCCCCAGGGTGTACCACGCCAAGTGCCTCAAACTACCAGCTGAGCCCGAGGGCGACTGGTTCTGTCCAGAGTGTGAGGTATCTTGCTGTAGTCATGTGCATTTATGTGGGCGTACACAAGTAATTGTGGAACTGTGTGCCATGAACAGCAGAAACTACCTTTCAAACTCATAGCTCATGCTTCTGTGAGCATAAGAGACGACATTAGAAGATTAAAGTTCAGATCTACTTATTCACTTCTTCGTGTATTTGTTACACAATTCTTCAATTTGGGATACACTAACTGAATCACAAAAAAGTGATTTAAACTTTACGCAGTTTTAGATATGAATAGTATCTCTTTAGTTTACCAATTATTGTCTTGTTTTTTATTATTATTTTGTTGCAGAAAATTACAGTCGCTGAATGCATTGAAACCCAGAGCAAGGCGATGACAATGCTGACAATAGACCAGCTCTCCTATTTACTCAAATTTGCACTCCAAAAGATTAAACAGCCTGGGGTAAGGGGTTTCTTCAAGTCTTTGTATGCCCAGTTGCGTGTTGCAGATTCAACCAAAGATTCTGGAAACATCCATGAGGAAAGTGTAATTCATGTGTGCTTATTTGCTGTTTGTGTAATCTGAGCAGACTGAGCCCTTTCAGAAGCCTGTATCTCTGGAACAACATCCAGATTATGCAGAGTACATCTTCCACCCCATGGACTTATGTACTTTAGAGAAGGTACTCGTATATAGATTTTTTTTTTTTCTGGAGACGTATTAACAACAAAAAAAAAACAAAAACAAAACTAGAATTAGAATTAGAATGAACCATGATGTAAATATGCATATAAAATGCTGGCAAAAGTGCAGCTGCTTGACTGATATTATTATTTTCACTGTACTATAGAATGTAAAGAAGAAGATGTATGGCTGTACTGAAGCTTTTCTTGCTGATGTGAAATGGATATTGCACAACTGCATCATCTATAATGGAGGTAGGCAACTTTGATGTACGTCATTACTCCCTTTACTGTCGTAAGAATATATAAATTAAGCTTGTGCGCCGTTTCCAGGCAATCACAAATTAACAGCAACTGCGAAAGTCATTGTCAGGATCTGTGAACATGAGGTAAAGCAACTTTAATTACTTGGTGACATTTTTGTAAATGTGTCTTATTTATGGACTTGCATCATCTTCATTTAATACTTTTTTTTTCTTCTTTTTTTAGATGAATGAGATTGAGGTGTGTCCAGAGTGCTACCTGTCCGCATGCCAAAAAAGGGACAACTGGTTTTGTGAGCCATGTGTAGGTCTTTACATTAATTTAAATCCATAAAAGTAACAGACTTTTTTTAAAATTATTTTTGTTATACGTTTTAGCTTGGATATCAGCTTTGTGAAGCACAGTATTTTAGTGTTTTGCTCTATCCAACAGAGTCAACCCCATCCCCTGGTTTGGGCTAAGCTCAAGGGCTTTCCATTCTGGCCAGCAAAAGCACTTCGTGAAAAGGATGGGCAAGTAGATGCACGCTTCTTCGGGCAGCACGACAGGTGAGATGAACCTTTTGGGCACTATAGAGGAAACTCTCCTTGTTTTAGAGGTTTAGAAAAGACCTGAGTCGCTGCATCTCCACTGGATATTAAATGTATTAAAACATTATTTTGTTCTGTTGTTGCATTTCCACATAGGGCCTGGGTTCCCATCAACAACTGCTACCTCATGTCCAAAGAGATCCCTTTCTCTGTAAAGAAAACAAAGAGCATTTTCAATAGTGCCATGCAAGAGATGGAGGTCTATGTGGAAAACATTCGCAAGAAGTTTGGAGTCTTCAACTACGCACCCTTCCGCACTCCGTACACCCCCAACAACCAGCTACAAATGCTGGTGGACCCTTCCAACCCCGGTGCTGGTACAGTGAAAACAGAGAAACCAGATAAACTTCGCTTCAACTTTGATATAACCGCTTCTCCTAAGATGGTCCTCAGCAAGAGTAGCACACCCAGTAGTATGAATCGGCGGGTCTCAATGACAGACATGCCTCGGTCTCCCATGAGTACAAACTCTTCGGTTCACACAGGGTCTGATGGAGAGCAAGATGTGGAAAAGGGCAACAGAAATCCTGCACTCCATTACAGCACTGGAGAGGAATCGATGGACTGTACTGGTAAGTCTTCTCCACTCTGGTTGCATTAACTGTGATTTTAACTTATTTTATTCACCGTTATAAGCTCTTTTCTTTTCTTTTCTTTTCTTTTCTTTTTTTTTTGTTGCTTTTTAAAAAAAAAAAATCTTTTTATTACAGCATCTCCTGTTTCAGGGAAGATGGGTCCTGCAGGCAGTGTGTCAGGTAGTCCAAAGCCCTTTAACCCTGGACTGGTGCCAAAGCAGGAGAGGACTGCAGGGACAGGTGGCATCCTCAATCTCAACCTGGGTCAGTAACAAAAAGCAAAGAGAGACTGCATTTGTGTTCTCACAAAGGCTAATAATCAAAAAGTACTTAATAATTAATGAATTTGTGATTAAACAAACATTTACATGTTCATTTCAGATCGAGTCAAGGCTGAAATGGATCTCAAAGAGCTGAGTGAGACTGTTCAACAACAGCAGCAACAACAAGGAGTCCCTGCGCCCCCTTCTACTCCAAAGAGACCCATCAGGAGCTTGGACAAGACTATTGAAAGCTGCAAGGCACAGCTTGGTACATACAAAACCAGTTTGTGACATGACTTGCTGCAGAACTCTATTCTTGTACTGTACAAGTCCTTTGAACTTGCCAATGTAATGATTAATAACAAATCTAGGAAATTTAAGTTGTGGATTATTTCTCAAGACTAATTTGAATTCGGCAATTTTACAAATGCATCACGGCAGTTCTGACTCTCTAATCAGTGGCGGTCATGAGTCTGTGTGACTGCTGCTGACTAGGGTTTATTAAGCTATTACCAGAGAAAGGGTTCATTATTTCTTTGTATTTGCTTCTGACAGAAAGACATTAACACAATGTCCATTTCTTAATATAGGTATTGATGAGATATCTGAAGATGCGTATAAAGATGTGGATCACAGTGACTCTGAGGACTCTGAGAAATCAGATTCAAGTGACAGCGAGTATCTCAGTGATGAGGAACACAAGCCAAAAAGCTCAGCTCAGGAGGACAAGGACAAAATGGAGAGAAAAAGGTCTAAAGCAAGCACTGATGGAGAGAATAAGGAAGGAGCTGTGGCAACGGGGGATAAAGCCACCCCGGAACCCCCACTCAAAGAGAAGCAGGGTAGCAATGGCCCAGATAGAGACCTCAAGGACAAGCCCAGAACACCCCAGTCTCAACCCCTTGCTGACAAACCCAAAGCCCCAGAGGATGTCAAAGCAGCTGCTAATACATCAGCAGCTGAGCAGGACTCTGATTCTGAAAGAGAGCTTGTGATTGACTTAGGGGATGAACATGGAGGTCGTGACTCAAAGAGGGCAAAAAGAGAGCTGGGATCTTCCACTGCCAAAGCTGCCAAAGAGTCTAATGTTGCTAAGCTGGAAGGTGAGGCTTGTTTTTGTTTTGTTTTTTTGTTTTTTGGGGGGGGGTTATACGAAACATCAGTGTCAGGTATGGGGAATTGCACAAGTTAAGGCATGATGTGAAAGACCATGAAAACCTTCAGATTAAACTGTGCAGTGTTTCTCTGCTAGGTGGAAGACTGTAGGTGACGTAAGGGTAGTCATGAGCTTATTGATTGAGTTGATGCACAAACAGGGTCTACATTGAAGAATTGTCGCAATCTTAGCTGCGATTATCACAGGAGTCGACCTCTAAAGTCTGCAAAACAACATCTGGATAAGCTGGAATTGTTTTGGAAAGAAGGGCTGTGGGCAGAGGAAGTTAAGTTTTAGTGTTTTGGCCACAATGACAAGCAGGAGGGCGGGGGTGGGGGGCGGAAATATAAAACTGTGGCTTTGTTTGCCAGTCAGTGGCAGAGAAACATTACTAAATGGAGAGGACAGTATATTCCAGTAATTATCATAAAGCTTTGCTTTCAAATGCCATGCATTCAGACAAAAGACAAAGTGACTGGGTTCTATGTCTACATAGTGATCTCAGTCATACTTTGAAATGCTCTATGGGTAATAAAGTAACAATTTTTTTTTAAAAGTAAGACTGCAATGATTCTTTTCACATTCTTTTTCTTTTAATAGAAATGCGACTAAATTGCCTTCTGTCAAAGGGCGTTATTAGGTGCTACATTTGCTGAAGCATTTCTACATGTCCTAATTAATCTTTAGTCTTAAATCATCATCGGAGAAAGGCTAAATATCAATTTCAGTCTTCTAAAGTCTAAATAAATATAATCTTATATACGCTATAAAATGTTAAATCTGTTTAATGTGGCTGATTTTGAAATGCAGAACGCCTCACCCATAAGACTTTTTTTACTGCTTAGGCAAACTGCCTTCATCTGCTGCATCAGTAGCATCAGCACGTGATGTTACATCCAGCATGAAAGACTCGTCGCAGCCTTCCGTCACATCGGCGCTCAACCTCGTTTCCTCTGCCGCTTCTGCTCAGCCCAGTGCCACGACCACCACCAGTGGATCCACCACTACACCTTCTCCTGTCTCCACTTCTTCACCAGTGACTACAGCTGTAAAGAAACAGCGTCCCCTACTGCCTAAAGAGACTGCTCAAGCTGTGCAGCGGGCTGTAGTTTGGAATCCAACAAAGTTTCAAACGTCTTCTCAGAAGTGGCATATGCAGAAGATGCAGAGGCAACAGCAACAGGATGGAGAGCAGTCGGCTGTGCAGACGCGCAGCCCACAACAGCAGAACTCTTCTTCAAGCACTCGCTATCAGACCAGACAAGCAGCCAAGGGTATATACACCATTACAATTAGTCATGTCCACGTTAGTCACCATAACAAAATAAAAAGTGGACTTGAAGTTTTATAATTTCCCTTTAATTTTTTGTTGTCATCATCATCCTCTGCAGGGCAACAAAAAGACCCACCTCTGAGTGCATCCTCATCAACATCTGCCCAGGTCACATCTGGTAGCTCTTCTTTTATGTCTGGTGACTTGCAGATCCCCACAGTCTCAGCTGATGTAGCTGCAGATATAGCTAAATACACAAACAAAGTAAGTTGGAGGCTTTCCCTAAAAATTAAAATTCTACTCTATTAACTTTGTTTGCAAAGGTTATAACTGAGTATTTCAACAGTAATGTCACATTTTTACCAATACTTTGCAGATTATGGACACAATAAAGGGGACGATGACCGAAATCTACAATGATCTTTCCAAAAGCACATCGGGAAACACGATTGCAGAGGTAAAGATTGTCCGTCAAAGCAACACTTTCTGTGGTAATAGTACGTCAGTATTTATAATCACAGTGTATTTTTACCACAGATTCGACGGTTAAGGATAGAGATCGAGAAGCTCCAGTGGCTCCATCAGCAAGAGTTGTCAGAGATGAAGCACAATCTGGGTAAGATACCCATTTCCCTCTGTCACTCCTCAGAGCTTATTTGATCTTCAACCCGCCTTTTCCTCGCCATCAAATTTTAAACAGGTGTTGACATGGTATACAAGTTTCACGTTTTTTGTTTTGGTGTCTTTTAAATGCAGAACTAACAATGGCAGAGATGAGGCAGAGTTTGGAGCAGGAAAGAGAACGATTGGTGGCTGAGGTGAAAAAGCAAATGGAGTTAGAAAAGCAGCAAGCGGTGGACGAGACCAAAAAGAAACAGTGGTGTGCTAACTGTCGGAAGGAGGCCATCTTCTATTGCTGCTGGAACACCAGTTACTGTGATTACCCCTGCCAGCAAGCCCATTGGCCAGAGCACATGAAGTCCTGCACACAATCGGGTAAGACAAAACATACCTGGGATGGATGGATGGATGTAATTGTATTTATTTTTTTAAAGAGTTAAACTATTAGTAAAACTAAGCTAAAAGTGACTATGGTGACGCCTTCTATATTTACCTGTCAGTCGGTCATTTGTTGGTCATGTAATCACTGCATCACACTTTTTAGAAGGAATAAAGTTGCCCACTGAATAAACAGACCTATAAATGACACAAGATTAAGAAATTAGTTAGAAGAAGCAGGGTACAGATGGTTAGGAGCTTTATTACAACAGACTTGTCGTCAGTGTTTTGTTTAGTTAATGTAAGTGCTCTTCAGTTTCAGTGGGATATTCTTTTTCTTTTGTATTCTTACATTGTATTCCTATTTGGTAATTTTAATGTGATGTTAGATTTAAATTCAACATGAAATCGTCTCCAATTTTGTCCATTTTTCTTCCCCACTTTTATTTGGTAGCTCAGCCCCCTAAGGTACAGTGCAAATGTGAAATCATAAACACAAATGTGTTACATCATTCATGAGAATTGTAGACATTTTTTCCCTTCTTACCTAACCAGTGGTTTAAGAAACAAACTGTGCAAAGATGATTTAGACAACCTGTATATATTCTCTTCTTAAATTATTATTATTATTATTATTTATTTAACATAAACAGCCACAGCGCAGCAGGAGCCGGAGGCAGACCCCAACTCAGAGCCGTCAGTCAAACCATCAGGCCACTCTCCCGCCACGCAGACCGTGCCTTCAGGCTCAGGATCAATATCGGACAAAAGCAACTCTCCCACATATATGGACAAAAGCAAGGACAGTGCTGGTGTTACTGTGACCTAACTGCTACACTATGGGCACATTTTGGGAGGTCACTGTGGGACTCTTTGGTTCAGATGTGGTGCCGGAAGGCCCACACCTCTGTGACAAATCGCTTTTTCCCATTCCCTTATGTACACCTAGTTTTTGGTTCAAATGTCATTCTCAGTTTCCTCATCTACGTTCAGGTGGTTTCACCTTGTGAAAGCTGTCCGTCTTGAGAAATAAATGTGAGTCAATATGTTTTCATACTGTAGTTATGTTCCAGCTCTCTCACCACTTTCTCATCTCTGAGCAAGATTGTATGAATCCACATAAAACTTTTGTCTTTATCACTTCCATTGCTGCTCCTTCAGGGTTGTTTTATTTTGCCGACTGTTCTCCATATTGTGAGACAAAACATTTGAAACAGCCATCAACATTCATCATGGTGCCATCAGAGATCTTTTGACTGATGCAAGTTTTATCTTTGGTATAAACCACCGCTTCATGCCAACTAAGGTGTTTGGGGTTTTTTGTTGTTTTTGTTTTGTTTTTTTAATTTAGCAATGCAAGTTTAAAAATGGTTTCAGCCATGTCCTCTTCATGTCAGTGGTGGCATTTCTGTCTCCTACCAGTTTTGTATTGTAGTTTTATGTTGTATAGGACTACAGAAAGAGATCCAATTTATGAAAATGAACTAAAAATTTAAACTGTACAAAGTTTTTGTAAGAAGATACCTGAACAATATTTATAGTGTTATATGTTTTTATAGTATGTTTGTTGGAATTACATTTCTATGTGTTTAAAAAAACAAAACAAAAAAAAGTTATTGGAAAGTATATTACTTTATATGAATGTCAGCTCTAAGCAAAGCCAGTTTGACCAGATATCCAAAGTAAATCCTGGTCAGACTGCTGCTAAGAACTGGGTAGACATTAATAGAAACTGCATTTTGGCTGGATATTACTGCCTGTGAGCATGTCTGTTTTGAGCTTGTGTCTCGTTCTTGTTTACATATTGTATATAAAATAAATGGATCCGTGAAGAGGAAAAAAAAATAAAAAATTTGTCAGTTTGGTGCATGAGTTGTTTTGAGTGTGATGTGAGAAAGATTTTGGGGGGGGGCACCAGGGAATTATTTGTTTTATTCATTCCCAGTTCAGCCCCATTTACCAGCACAACCAGTTTGAGGTGGCTTTGGATTTAGAAGTCTGCATGACTTTAAATCTACTTTTTCCACAATTAGTAGTTTGTTAGTAATATTATAGTACATATTACTCTGACTGCAACAGTGAAACTGCAAGAAGTAGATAAATAACTGGGGTCAATCTAAGGAGCTTGGAAAGAAAAGCATTTCCTTTTTTTCTTTTTTTTCTTTTTTTTTTT